ATTGCATCTGGATAAGTAGGTTTCCCTTTGAACTTTCCGTAGTGAACTTATATCGGATATCCTCGGTCAATCGGTAGATTTGATATCTTTGAACCGTCGAGCTTTGTTGTATACCTAGACAACATAAGTCACACAATCAATCCTTAACCATCTATGGTTCTCACGGTTGTGTTCGTTTCAGCCTTGAACACCGCCTGGTTTCATGAGTGCTTAGAGAATGGGCCTTTACTTTCATTCTCCTTGAAGCGGATTACACTTCACACTCATATAGGTGATTCCTAAACGTGTAATCCTAAAGACACACTATCTGGTCATATCCTGCCAGACTTAGCAAATCATTAAAAAGCTTTAAGCTTTATTGACTCATCAAAAAGCCTTAATGCTTTACCTCGTTTTTGAACATTGTCTTCATCGCGAGAATGGGTTGAGTTATTTGACAATGTTGAACCGTCATTCATAACTTTGTTTGATCTCTTTGAACCTAGCTCTTGGGATCTCCAGTCTGCTAGGTAGAGTTATCGCCACGATGACTTGTCCTAGGCCTTTAACCCCATTCCCTTTGATGATCTTTCAACTGCCTCTCTAGATAGGCCTTTTGTAAGTGGATCTGACACGTTATCTCTTGACTTTACGTAGTCAATTGTGATAACACCACTAGAGAGTAGTTGTCTAACGGTATTGTGTCTCCGTCGAATATGACGAGATTTTCCGTTATACATAACGCTCCGTGCCCTACCTATTGCCGCTTGACTATCACAATGTATACAAATAGGTGCCAAAGGTTTGAGCCAAAATGGAATATCTTCCATGAAATTTCGAAGCCATTCAGCTTCTTCACCGGCCTTATCTAAAGCTATGAATTCAGATTCCATTGTAGAACGGACGATGCATGTTTTTTTGGATGATTTCCAAGACACTGCTCCACCCCCAATTATGAAAACATATCCACTCGTGGATTTAACTTCAGATGATCCGGTGATCTAATTTGCATCACTATTTTGGAGAGTCCGCGCGACATAGGCTACAACAGCTAAAGGTAAAAATTAGGGAAAAGGGCAAAAAAAAACGGAAAAGGGTCTGATATATCATTGTACTATGGTAAATTATTTAAAATTGTCCCCCGTTATACTATTGGGCCATAAAAGTCCCTACCGTCCAACTATCCTAACAAATCTGCCCTTACTTTGACGGAAGTGTCACGTGGCATCCATCCTTGCCTCTTTTTAAATCTGGGCACATAAGAGACGACCCGCTCCAACTATACCAACCAACCCATAACCCATTTATAAACCAAATAATAACCTAAAGCCACTGACCAACGATTTATAACCCAAATTAAACCCCAACCCTAATTTATAATCCTACTGCCATCTCCATCAAACCCTCTATGCTCCATCAAACAATTTGTAACTTTTCATAACTGACCAGATTGTTGCAAACATGAGTACGAATAAATAGTTTAGATCTAATACTACCAAAGGAAAAAAGAGGGAAGAGAAAAAGATTAAAGAAAATGAAGTAGGAAGGTTCCATTTATTTCAGTAGGATCAACATTTTGCTCTGACCTCTGTGTTTCCAATTGTTCCAGAATTGCAGGTATATTTGAATAAGAATAGTACTTCATCATGTTGCAATTAAATATTTCGTGCAGGAAAAGGCATTTGTCTGTGTCTGCGATTATCATAATAATGAGAGTCAGATTGTGATTTTCACTATCAAAATCATGTCATTGGCTTTGGTCCCTATAGTACGCCTGGTTGATACATGTGTTTAATACTCCACACTTCTGTGTTGCTTCCTACTCATAAAATGACCCTTTGACTTGTGACGACCCGACCCGTCGTCTCAGGTGTTACTGCTTCGTTTCTCCCATTTTATGGTTCCTTATGTTTCGTTATCGGTATGTGGTGTTTTAGAGTTGATTTGGATTGGTTTTGATAAGAGTGAGACACTTAGTCTCTTTAAGGAAGGCTTAAGTTGGTAAAGTCAACCGGACGTTGACTTATGAGTTAGAAGGCTCGGATATGATTTCCGGTGATTCAGTTAGCTTCGAGAAATGATTTGTGACTTGGGAGTGCGATCGGAATTGATTTTGGAGGTCCGGTGTAGAATTAGACTTGAATTGGCGAAGTTAGTATTTTGGCGAATTCCGGTTGATAGGTGAGATTTTGATCCGAGGGTCGGAATGGAATTCCGAGAGTTGTTGTAGCTTCGTTAGGTGATTTTGGATATGTGTGCAAAATTTCAGGTCATTCGGAGGTGTTTTGGTCAGGTTTTTGATCGAATGCATAGTTCGGAAGTTTTTAAGAAAACTTAGGCTTGAATCCGATGTGATTTGATGGTTTTAGCGTTGTTTGAAGTATTTGAGGATTGGAACAAGTTTGAATAAGGTATTAGGATGTGTTGGTGTTTTTGGTTGAGGTCCCGGGGGCCTCGGGGTGAATTCGGGTGGTTAAACGGAAGGTTTTTGGAGTTAATTGCAGGTTCAACCTTGCTGGTATCTGTTGGTTTCGCACCTGCGGTTATGGGACCGCAGGTGCGGTCTCGCTGAAGAGATTGGAAGATGCGTAGAAGCGGAAGTCTTGGCCCTTGCCAGATTCCGCAGGAGCGGAAGGAGGACCGCATAGGCGCCTAGCAGAAGCGAGCTAGACCTCGCAGGAGCGGAATTTGGAACCCTGGTCAGGTTCCGCAGAAGCGGAGCATTGGATCGCTTAAGCGGTCCCGCAGATGCCATTGGGGACCGCATAAGCGGAAGGTTGCCTTAAATGAAAGGTCCGCAAAAGCGGACGTTGACCGCATAAGCGGAAGACGCAAAAGCGGTACTGGATCCGCAGAAGCGAAATGCCTGGCAGTTAAGTGAAATTAATCATCTTCGCGAATTTTTGAAAGAACAACATTTTGGACTTCGGACTAAGGAGATTTTGGGCGATTTTTGAAGAGGGTTTCGAGGGCTATCATCAGGTATGGATTCTTGGGCTTAGATTATGTTATTATTGTGTATAAACATGAATTAACACTGGAAACCCAAGGAATTAAAGGGTAAAAATGGGGTAAGTTAGGGTTTGAGAAATTAGGATGTAAAAATGGAATTTGGAGGGTCAAACGAACTCCGATTTTGGTGAATTTTATATGTATGGACTCGTGGCGAGACGAGGAATCCGGTGATGTAAATTTCGTAATTTTTCGAGAAGCGGGCCCGGGGCTCGGGTTTTGCTAGTTTCGAGGTTCTTGCTAATTTTCGATTGTTTTCGATTGGGTATTGTTCCCTTAGCATGTTGTGATGTATTCGCTCTGATTTTGGTTAGATTCGACGCGCGTGGAGGCCGATTCGAGGGGCAAAGGCGTCGCGAGCTAGGGATTTCACCGGTTCGAGGTGAGTAATACTTGTAAATGATATCCTGAGGGTTTGAAACCCCGGATTTGCACATCATAGTTCTGTATTGTGGTGACTTGCACGCCAGGTATGAGCGTGGGGTAGAGCACCGTTGGGGATTGTGACTTGGTCCGTCCCGGTTGTTGATTTTACTGCGTAATTGACTGAAACCTACTTGATGCTATCGTGATTTGGGTTGATTGCCATGTTTTGGGCTTCGTGCCGATTATTTGAATCCTTTAGGTATTATTATCACTGTTTTCATGACAGTTAGCATATTAAATGATTTCAGTCCTGAGTTAAACCCTGTTTTGAAATGTGTAGTCATGTTGCTAAAGTTTAAAGACTT